ACCGAGCCACACCATCTAGGTTTGTGTCACTGCAGTCTGTGATGTCACCCAAGGGTGAAGTCACCTAACCACATGTTTCTGAGAAACATGTCCCCACTGCTAAGGTCCCCATGACTGTAGCGTCAGCTCCCAACTTCACCGCCTTCCCTCGGTTTCCACAACTACAAATAGGGATAATAGTATCCACGTCGAAAGCTGTGAGCAGTCAATGAGTGTGAAAGCAGCCGTTCTCAAACTAAGAGTGTGTCAGAATAATCTGAGGGCTTGGTGTGACGCGGAGTGCTGCACCCCACCCTGATTCAGTAGGGCTGGAGTGGGACCTGAGAACCTGCATTTGTAACAGGTTCCCAGGTAATGTGGATGTGGCCCGTCTGTGGACCAGACTTTGAGAACCACTGGCTTAGAACATTAGCTGGCACGTAGTCAACCTCCGATAAGCGTTACCTGCCTAAATTATCCTCTCCACCACTGGTCATCCTGTCTACATCATGATTTCACTCTCATCCTCAACACCCTGAGCACAGCTGGCTTTCCCACTCACCCACCCCACCAGAACAGACCGCCCCTCACACGGCAAGCCTTGCCAGAGGTGCTGGCCCAAAGGGGTTTTGCGCATTCTCTGGCCACCCCCATATCCAGCCCCCAGGACCACAAGGAGCTCTGTCAGGACCCAGAAGTCTCCTCTGCATGCTGTTTTCTCATTTTACAGCATAGAGCCCAACACACAGGAGGGATTCAAAATACACTTATTAAAATTGTCCTCAAGGTACAAAAAGGACTCTCTTCGGTGATGCCTTCATTCCAGTCAAATTTTTAATATTTTTAATGCCTTCTGACAAGACTTACTCCTTTCCAAAGTACAGCAATAAATTTAAATCTTTGAAAAAAGATTGCGCCAGGTATGGAGGCATATACCTGTAACCCCAACACTCAAGAGGCTGAGGCAGGAGGATCACCATGAGTTCAAGGCCAGCATGGGCTACACAGTGAGTTCAAGGCCAACCTGAACTACACAGTAAAACCCTATCTCAAAAAACTTTTTTTAAATGAAAGAAAGAAAAATAAAACAGGATTAGGTAGCTTAATACTAATCTGTATCACACACTATTTTCTATTAAATTGCAAGCTTTTACCAAAATATCACATAGATAAATGCTTAATCACAAGGTGTTACAAAAACATGAAGAGATTTTGAGTCCAGTACTAAGCTGCATCCATAACTCATGTGCAAGGGACCCTGGCGGCATTGCTATGAACAATAAAATGGCTCAGCACATCCTAGAACAAAGGATGATTGCCACACTTGTTTGTTAGGGACCTGACTTATGAAGGGGCCAAGGCCTAAGGACAACGAGGCTGAGAATGAACAAAAAGGGACAGTCTCAAAGATGGTGTGCAGAAGTCAGTGTGTTTCCACCACTGACTAGACAGATACTAAAGGAAACAAAAAGAAGAGGAGGTCCAGAGATGCCCCGGAGGTGTTGCTGAAATCTGGGTCCCATGGAGGACTGCACATACCCGAAGAGCATCACGCCTTTTCATGTTATTGGAGAGAAAATTATAGAGAGCTCCTGTATTATATTAGGAATGTGTGGTTGGATTTCTGAAAGACCCCAAAAGCCAATTTCCTATTGCTACAAGTTGAGAAGATAGATTTTGAACCCAGACACTTGCAGAAATGACAGATAGATGATAGATATAGGATAGGAAGAGAGAGAGAGAGAGAGAGAGAGAGAGAGAGAGAGAGAGAGATAAAGATAGATAGAGATAGATAAATAGATAGATTGTATCGCAGAGACAGTTGTCCAGATAATAGAGAACTCACTTTTCAATCTCCTGCTCTCTGAAGGCCCACTCTTTCCTCTCCATTGTGTTCATCATCTTCCTCCTCTTCTCCAACTGGGAGATGTCATTCAGAGGGGGAAGAGTGGCTTCCCAGGCACGCTTTTCCCGGGCTCGTTCTATCATTTCCACCTCAGCCAGTCCTGCTGGGAGACCGCGACCTGGAGGATGAAATGTCACACCTTAGGGACAAGTGGACAACCCATGTACCACCTGTATATAAATTACTCCCCTCAGGTCCTATCCATTTCCCTAACTTTGAGGGCTATGACAGGACACAGGAATATTAGGACACATCCTGTAGATGTGTCTCACAACTTGTGTTCCATGTCCCCTACTGTTATGGTTTGTGTCTGGATGTCTCCCAAAGCCTCATGCAGTCATGGGGTAGGCTTCCAGAGTTTATGATTGATTCATGGTCCAGTGTTGGAATTGTGGATGTGAGCGCTACACTTGCCCTGGGGTGGGTAGTTTGCGTAGGATGTAAGGGAGGGAAAAAAAGATTGGTCTTTCCTGTGCAGCTCCTCCCTTTTTCTCTCTTGTTGCTTTTGCTATCTTCTGCCTCTATGAACTGTTGTTGTGTGCCATGTGCCACTCTGCCTTGGAGCCAGCTGAAAATGGACAGAAACCTCCACAGACTGTGAGCTAAATAAACCTTTCCTTCCTTCATTTTGAGCATCAGGTATTTTGTCTCAGCAATGAGAGAAAGGTAACCAAGACACCTACAGTGTTTCTTATTGGCACCTGGCCTATCAGATGTTAGCTATATGTCAGATATTGCAAAGTGCTGGAAGAATATCAGTGACCACAGAATAACCAGACCTTGGAATGTTCCATCCTGGACAAATCTGTATTTTGAAATGCAAAGAATAACAAAGTCCAGGAGGGTGGGTTGTGAAATGTAGGGAATTTATTGAACAAAAGTAAAAAGCAGATACATTTTAAATAAAAGAAAATGAAGGAATAGTCATTTTCAGAGAATTTATTATCACTGCATCTTGTCCTCCACAGTGAATGTTCAAGTTAGGGCTACTTCTAAATTTTTTGCACTATTTGTTTCAAATCTTTTGCTATTTTCTAAAAACCAAATAATATATGGATTCACTATCTCTTGTTTTTAAAATTGGATCATCATAGAACAAGCTACAGTTCTCCTGTAGTCTGCCCCCTCCTGACAACCATTGCAGAAGCAATTACAATGGGCATAGTATTGATTCATATATGTATATAAATGCAAAATCATGTATATACCTATTTATATAAGTACATATAATTTTGTGAATTCTGTTTTTTTAGTGATTAAAAAATTTAAAGTACAAAAAAATCACAAATACTCAGATTTAACCACTGCATACACATTTTGTCACCTACACTTTACCTTTTTTAATTAAAACATTAAAAAGAAAGTGGAAGGTCAGATGTGATGACACGCTCAGGAGACTGAGTCAGGAAGGTCATTGGGAATTCGAGGCCAGCCTGAACTACATAGTGAGAGCTTATCTCAAAAAATGAATGAATAGAAGAAAAATAAAGTTGATGTTCCTTTAAGCCATACTCAGTTTTATTGCCTTCTTCCCTCTCTCAAAATAAACACAAAAAGGCATTTGGGACTCTTCTTCCATTCAATCTTAGTATTTTATATACAGATTTATGATCTACAACTTATAATAATAAAGGTAACATTTCTTAAATACTTAATACATGTCAACCACTGTTCAAATTGACTTGAACCCTCAACATGTTGGTGTCATATAAATACAATTATTACTATTTTACCAGTGAAAAGACTGAGGGCTAAAAGGTGGAGTAACTTGCACAAAATCCCAGCTGGTAAAGGGTGGAAATCAGGGTCTGAATGTGGCCGTCCAAGCTCTGGTCTAATGTACTACAGTGAACTCCTCTAATAAAAACAAATGTGAACCAGAAACCAGATTCAGTTCAAATGTGGACCATAAATGACTGTACAAAAACAAAAGACAGTATTATTTTTACTTACTACTTATAAATGTAGTATTGTACTACACATATCATCCTGAAAGTTGCCTTTTTTACTCAGCTCTGTTTTGGGACATTTGGCTACACTGATTCCGAGATCTAAGATTTCATTACAATTTCAGCTATTTTCTTGGGTGGCCATTCGTGAGTTTTTGACTACACAGAATGTTGCAACATGCATTGCTGTACTGGTCTGGTTGTGCCCATATGTAAGTTTCTCTAGGATTCTTAGATGAGGAAATGCTAGAGTCTGGCAGCCAGAGCAGAAAATAGGATCACTGTTAATTCTAGATACTGCCAGATTTACTCTCAGGAAGTATATTTTTGCTCATGCCTTCTGCAAGTGCCCAGTGGTCCCTCCCGAGTCTGTGCTTCTTCACTTCCTCCCACGTTGCTTCTGCCTAATCTCAACTGTTTCTGAAATCCTTACAAATATTTCATACTTCATAGATTACATGTGACTTTCACTTTCCCTGAAGATGGAATTTGTGGGAGTTTTGTTGTTCTTGTGGTTTTTGTATAATTTGGGGGAAGAAAAGAGGACACTAATTTACACAGTAATAGTTACTTTGGCAGTAGGAATTTAGATAAATTGCTTGAAGGCATTATTTATTTGGAGAAGAAATCATATCTATTCAGGCGTAAGTTTTCCTATTCATAAACATGGTGTGTCTGTTTTAATCAAATCTGTAGGCTCTTAAAGAACAAGAATTTTCTCTATAAATGCCTTGCATGTGTATTTATTAAGTGATCTCCTGGTATGCTGATATTTGTCAATATCACGAATGTGATTCTTTTTGAAAAGTTTGCTAATTAGACATGACTCATCCAGGGAAGTTACTGACCTTTGTATGTTAATTTCATAATCAGCTACCTATATGGGTACACTGTCTGCAAATAAAGATAGTTTTACTGCTCCTTTCTAACCTTCAACCAGTGCGCTGTTGCAGATGGGGCAGACAGTGCTTTGTTGTAAGGTCAGCCCCGCGCAGTGCGGGATGTGTGGTGTCCACGCCAACCCACGCCCTGCAGGCCAGCCCCGCGCTTGCTGCATGCCAGAAACACCTCCTCACCGTTCCTACCACCGAGAATGCCACTCGTACTTCCAAATGTCCTGGGTGAGACGGGTCATAGCTCAACATGATACATGTGGCTAGGATCTGCTTTCTATTGTCAAACAATAGCAGTGAATAGTGTGCCCTTGTCCTTCTGTACTTTACGACTAAGGCTTCTAGAGTTTCACCTGCGGTTTTACATTTACTGAAGGCCATTGTGGATACCCTATCAAGTTTCTGTGTTTCTTTCTACTCCTACTTTATTTAGGGTTTATATCACAAATGGATATTGAATATCATCAAAAATTTTTCCTGTATCCAGTGAAGTATTTTCCCTATATTTTCTGAAAAAAATGGGAAATTACATTGGTTAGTTTTCTGAAACTGTAACAAACTTGACTATTTGTAATTAACCCCCTTGGTTATGATGTTATCCTTTTAAAATATAGCAAAATTTGATTGCTTGTATCTTAGTTAGAACTTTTGCACATTTCTTCATATGTGAGACTGTCCTATCATTTTCCTTTTTAGTTATGCCCTTACATAGTTTTCAGATCAAATCCATACCACCTGAATAAAATAAATAAATTACCTCTTTTTTCCTCTCTTAGCTGAAAGAATGTGCAAAAACATGGAGATTATATGTCTCTTGAAGGAGTGATAAACTTATCTTTAAAACTAGGCCTTGTTGCTACTCTCAAAAAGATTTTCTTTCCTTTTACCAAATAATCTTCATAGTTACTCTTCTAGTCTTGAAACCAACTTGGTAATTTATATTTTATTTAAAAAGTGTGTAATTTACCTAAGTTTTTAAATATAGAGCCAAAGATAGTCATAGCAATCTCTTGTATTTCTAACTTGTTTACTCTGTGGTTATATCTCTCTTTTAAAAACCTAATATTCGTTATTTGCATCTTCATTTCTTGACACTGCCTTTCTAGAAGAGGTTTGGTATATTATAAATTTTATTCAAAATGAACTTGACAGTCCTAATGACCCATTTCTTTCATCTTTTAAAGTTTTATATTATTCATCTCTGATCTTAACTTTTTTTCATTTAATAAGAGGATTAAAAGTTAAAAATGTAAAGCACTTGTAACAGTTCTTAGCAATAGTAAACCCTTAATTTTTATGCTTACTGTCATCTTTTTTCACTATGTCATTATTTCTCGCTGACCTTTATGCAGACTCTTTACTAATTCATACAGTGTACACAGAGAGGAACAAAAATGAGCCTCCTGTGGAGCCATTGCCCGGGTCAAGGAACAGAATATTAACAACCCCACGATGCCCACCAGACTCCCTTCCCAGTCTCTACCCATCTCCAGCGGTCCACCATGCTCAGGCCTAACAAATTAATCCAATTCTCACTGATTTTGAGCTTTACGTAGGTGGAAGCACAATATAGGTGCCCTTTTCTATTTGATTTCTTTTGTTTAGCACTGTATTTGTAAGATTCACCGAGGTGTTTACATATTCCATTTTCATGACTAAATGGTAGTCCATTGTGTAAATTTACTACATAGGTATCATTCATCCAGTCTATGGTTGTTGAATGTTGGGATATTTTTAGTTTGACATTATTATACATGGTGCCAGCGTAAACATTCTTGTATGTGTCTTTTAGTGAACACACATATGCATTTGTTAGTAGAATTATGCATTCATTTTTCTTTGGTATATAGCTAGGAATAAAACTTCTGGGTTGTAGATATAAGCACATTACACAAGTAAATTTGTTTAATCCTATCAATAACCTATGATATAGATCCTTTTACTATACATGAAAATGTCTTTCTCTCATCTTCATTCCTTAATAATGGTTTGACTGATGAAAAAAATACTGGGTTTGAAAGTATCTTCCCACCAGTACCTTAAAAATTATACTATAAAATATCAATCTGGGTTTTTTTTTCTTTGTGAGTAATCTGAATTTTTTCTCTAATAGTTGTTCATGCTTTTCTCTTCTTTTATTGGTAGGTATGAATTGTTACAAGTTTATCATGCTTGGTACTCAGTAGAATGTTTTCTTTGTGCAATCTTATGCCTTTCTTTAGTTTGGGGAAACCCTTAGTCATTATCTTTTCTCACACTGCCTCTCTATCCCTTCCTCCCCTGTCACTTGCTGGAGTTCATAATCCTATTTCTCATAGCTCCTCCTTTAGCTCTTGTATCTCTGTACACTACACTCTGGATTTCTTCATTTTTTCATGTATCTGTTGACCATTTGTGTGCTCTCTTTTGAGAAATGTCTGGCTGGGTTCTTTGATCATTTTTAATAGGGTTTTCTTGTTACTGAGTAGTCTGAATTCTTTGTGTGTTTTAGACATTCACAATTTATCCAGCGTATGACTTGTCGATATTTTCTCCCCACCTCTGGTTTATCTCTCGGTTCTATAAACAAGAGTTGCCTGGATGTGCGTCCTTTCCAAGAGCTGGGGAGCATGCGTGGTTATTAGTAGGGTACTGTCACTGAAAATACTCAAGAGAATCACTGACTCACCCCAAGTCAACGTAGCCAGGGTCAGGAGCTCAGGGATAGTGTTCTGACACACCACATACTCCGGAGAGTATGGGTCGGTTTGAACATCAGCATCCCGATAATCAGTCTGAGTGCCCACAGTAGACTTTGAAGGAACGGGTGGGTACTTAGAAGCAGCAGGAAAAACATATGGTTCCGTCCTAAAAGGGGAAAATTAGTTAAAAAGTTGAAACTTGACGTGATCATTTAAAATATTATATAACACTGTAGAAAAAAATCCATGAACTTCATGAGGTCCATTTCCCCTGCACATGCTGACAGGCACAGTTATGAATCCAGTGTAACCAGGACCATGCCCCCAAATCTTGACAGAACTCCTACTTACTCTCACTTCTGCCAAGGAACTGAGTAGGAATAAATACCACACTACTCACAAAAGTGCCTCTGCATCTGCGCGTCACTAGACAAAGTACAGAGGTTGAAGTACACAGGACAGCGTCTCCGGGCCTGTTCAGAATTAAGACATTCTCTGGCTTCTCCTCTGCATTCAGTTGCACACCAGATCTTAGTTATTTCTCTCCAGAAACAGGAGTAGAGGAAAAAGGAGAGATGTTTTTTGTGAAGGAAGGAAGCAAGCAAACAGGCCAGCCCGCCCCTTGCCTCTGGGTAGATGACTCAGCAATTAATGTTGGGATAACTTGGTTAACACGTAGGAAAATTACCTCATCCCTCATACAAAAATTAGCTCCAGGTCATTTAAAAATATTAATGCAAGCTGGGCGTGGTGGCGCACACCTGTAATCCCAGCACTTGGGAGGCTGAGGCAGAAGGATAGGATTGCTG